TTATTATTATGGGCACGGCTCGCATTTAATAGTATACCGTTGTGTATTATAGTCTATGCTAACTCAGCGTGTCTTATATTCATATAGTTATATTAATGTTTTGTTATATTAATTACGTTAACTATATTATAGCAATGTAGTTATATATTGTTACTATATATATTTTTATTAACTTATATTAATGTAGTTGTGTATTATATTCTATATTGTATTAACTAGATTATATTAATACACATGTATATATTACTCAAGTATGTTATATATTATATGCTAATTACTTGTATCCTACATTAATGTAATTGTATATTTTGTTATATATTATATTATGTTAATTAACTATATTGTAATACTGTAGTTGTATATTAATATTATATATTAATTATATGTTAATTAGCTATAGTAATGCAGTTATATATTATATTAATGTTACTATATATTTTCATTTATTATTAATGTAGTTGTGTTTATATTAATACATATGTTAATTATATTAATGCACTTGTATATATTAATGCTATATATTATATTCTAATTACTTGTATCTTATATTAATAGTTTCATATAGTCATTGTTGTTAATTACTATATTGTAATAACGTATATTAATACTACTATATATTAATTATGTTAATTAACTATTAATGTAGTGTTATATTAACATATATTATATGTGAATTATAGTAATGTATTTGTGTATTATATTAATCATGTTATTATATATTATGTTAATTACTACATTATATTAATGTAGTTGTGTATTGTATTAATCATGTTATATATTATATTATGTTAATTACATTATAGTAATGAGTTGTGTATTATATTAATCATGTTATTATATATTAATTATGTGTTAATTACTACATTATATTCATGTGGTTGTGTATTATTAATCATGTATTCTATATTAATTATACGTTAATCACATTATATTAATGTAGTTGTGTATTATTAATCATGTATTATATTAATTATATGTTAATCACATTATATTAATGTAGTTGCGTATTATTAATCATGTATTATATTAATTATATGTTAATTACTACATTATATTAACGTACTTGTGTATTGTATTAATCGTAGATGTTATTAAACGGAAGCTCTGACACACGCTACAATGTGGATGAACCTCAAAAATAGAAAAACACCCATCACGCTCGGTGGAAGCCAGATACGTGAGTCCCCATATGACTGCACTTCTGTGAAGTGTCCAGGTAAGGGACATCTGTCCAGGCTGAGAGCAGGGTACGGGCTGTCGGGGGCTGGGATGGGGCGCAGGATGAGACCACCTGCTGGGCGATGGGAGAGACCGAGACTGAGACGGTGCGGACGCTTGGCGCCACTTGCTAAATGCACTAAACATCATTGACTCGTATCCTTTCCGCAGGTGAATTTCATGACATGTAAATGAAATAAAGCTGGTTTTTAAAAACCCAGTAGGCTTTTCCATGGCTCATAACAAGAGTCTATTTTTTTTTTCTTGTTTCTGCGGGCTCTACACCGGGCAAGGGCTGATGTTGAAATTACCAGCTGTTTCGAGTTTTCGAAGAAAGAAACTGCTAGGTTTGAGAACAAGGCCAGTGCACAAAGTGCCGCCTGTGAGTATTTAATGCACACACAAAAAAAAGTCTGCGTTTTCCATGCTATACGAGGAATGACGCTTTGTAACCCAGGTCTCGTTAACACAACAGAGAGAAAACATTCCTCTTCTTAATTTCTTTTTATATTTTTCAGTTACAAGTGGACATTCAGTATTGGTGTCAGGTGTAGGGCGTGGTGGTCAGACATCTATAGACCTTACGAACGGATGCTGCTGATAAACAGAACCAGTGCCAAGGGCCTGCGGCTGAGCCAGCCCTCCAAGCTCTTGGCTGCCTCGCGCCTCCTCCGCTGGGACCGGGAATCAGCGACACAGTCAAAGCTGCCAAGTAAAGGATCTGCCGTTTGGCTTTGAGAACCGACAGCCACAGAAAAGTGAGTCTTCTAAGGATTTCGTGAACGGTCCTTAAAATGACGTACACTTTCAGAGAGACGCCTGAACAAAGCCCTCCTACGGTGGTTCCCCGAAAATAAGACCTAACCGGAAGATAAGCTCTAGCGTGATTTTTCAGGATGCTCCTAATAGAAGCCCTGCCCCAAACATAAGCCCCAGTTGAGATCATCAGCCAGGCAGGACTGTTTGAGTAAATGTCGATTTCTGTACATGAATAAATGAATACATGTAGACTGTGGGAGCAAAAATTAATATAAGACCCGGCGTTATTTTGGGGGAAACACAGTCATTTGTGGGTGTCACATAAGCCTCTGCTGTGTAATAGTCCATCGTCCATTCCACCAGTGAAGGAAACTTGGGCGGTTTCATTTCTACATGTTTCTAATCCAAAACAACCAAACAAAAATCACCTTATTTTTTTTCTTTTTAGCTGAGCCATCCTGCCACCTGTTGGCAGCTCAGGCTGGGACTCGAACTGCTGCTGCTCAGAGCTCACCCTCTTGAGCGAGCTCTTAACCAGCTGAGCCACTCGGCCGGCCCCAATTACCTTCTTATGAAACATGTATTCCTGTAGAATGGGGCGTGTCCGTTCCCCACCACTGCTCACAAAAATCAAGCCTTCCGACTGGCCCACTGTCTTAGTAACATCCTCCCGAGAAACAGAACTAGTTGAGGGTTTCATAGATAGATGAGACAAAGAGAGAACATTTCTTATAAAAAATTTTTCTCGCATGAGCACGGAGGCCAAGAAGTCCCAGGAAAAGCCATCGGCACGTTGGGGACTCAGGGGGCCGATCTTGTGCGTCCCAGTCCGAGTCTGACTCTGAAGACAGGAGAAGACTCACGTCCCAGCTCGAGGACCCACAGGCAGAGACAGAGATTTTTGTTTCTCAGGTTTATAGCATCTCCAGGCCTTCGACTGATGGGACCCAGCCCGCCCACACCGAGGACGGCCCCTTGGGGCTTCAGGGTAAAAATATAGATGCCCGAGGTCTACACGGATTGACTCCTGGATCTGTTCCGGGCGCTGCTCTCCACGCCTCACAGATCGCCACCCTTTCATTCTCAGGACGTGGGCGCACCGTGTGCGACTCAGTGTCTCGGGGTGTTGTGCCCCGTTAGCCATGAGTGCATGAAAAAAGCCCCAGCCTGCTCTGGTTGAAGGACGGGGAGGAGGAAACTGGTCGTGGGCTTTCTTCTTCCTTCTGCTCTGCGGTCTCGTCCTCGGCTTCGGCTCAGGGCGCCCAACACTACCTGGGGTCTCCTTTCTCCACCAGCTACAAGGGGAGGGCAGTAGACCAACTCAAGGGGGACCCGGGCTGGGCTCACCCTGATTGCTTCCTGGTTCTGAACGGGCCCGTGGCAGCGGCGGAGAACACCACTGGCTGCTCCCACGGGCAGCTCTCCATCGTGTCTCGTCCGCACCATCTCTGTTCATTCTTCCCTTGATCGCTGTAGGGCCCCACATGCTCACCACACATCCATCCTTTTGCGTAAGCAACCCCGGTGAGGTTTCGTTGCTAGCGAACGGCTCCCCAATCTGCAAAGAGCAAATCCTCAAAAGCTCCATATCTTCATCCACCTGGCCAAGTCAATATACCTAAATATCCTTGTCCTCCCATGCCGTTTCCTCCTGCCAAAAATATTTCAGTACTATTTCTAGCACAATACAACGTTTAAAGAAAATAACGCTTTCAATATAGCAGCACATCGGTGATAGTACGGGCCAAATCACATCTCTCAGGAACTCAACTTGCGTCGTTCTGCAGCCCTGACACGACATAGCACAATTTGGGCACTGGCATCATTTAGGAAATAACAGTATTGTGCCTCGCATACAGACGTCAGTCAGAAGTTATTGAAATGTTCTCAAACTTCCCATGTATTGATTTAAAACATGTCACTGTGCCTGACATAGAGAAGTTAATAACCATGGAATGCATGGATGGATGGAGGATGGATGATGGACAGACGGATGGATGGAGGATGGATGGATGGATGGAGGATGGATGGATGGATGATGGATGGAAGCATGATGGATGGATGCATGGATGGATGGATGGATGATGGTGGATGGATGGATGGATGGATGATGGATGGATGGATGATGGATGGATGGATGCATGGATGGATGGATGATGGATGGATGGATGGATGGATGATGGATGGATGGATGATGGATGGATGGATGATGGATGGATGGATGGTGGATGGATGATGGATGGATGGATGGATGATGGATGGATGATGGATGGATGGATGGATGATGGATGGATGATGGATGGATGGATGGATGGTGGATGGATGGTGGATGGATGGATGGTGGATGGATGGATGATGGATGGATGGATGGTGGATGGATGATGGATGGATGGATGGATGATGGATGGATGATGGATGGATGGATGGATGGTGGATGGATGATGGATGGATGNCACAGAAATCAACGACGTTGGTTTCCCCTTTTCCCCCCTTTTTTGGTCCCCTTTTTCCGGGAGCATGCCCTGGGTGCCGGTTTTCTCATCGGCGGGCACATAGACAAAAATCAAAAACAAAACTGCAAAACAATAAATAAGACTTGAACGCCCGTCTCCTCTGTTTTCTCGGTTAAGAAACCCCAACTTCCACCGCACCTGTAGCACCTCTGACTCCAACGGATGTGCTGGCCAATTCACAGGTGCCCGCTGGCTTGTCAACATTGGAATTTCTGCAGAAAACCGGCTTTGGGTCTTTCTTCTTCATTTTTTTGTTTTTTCTCTCTTTCTCACATCCTTGAAGGCGTTCTTGTATGTTCCTGTGGGTTTAGCATCACACCTCTTTCCTCTCACGGGACACTGTCAGTATTTAATTTGTGCATTCTTTCTTTCTACGGATGTCTTGGGTCATGGGCTTCACACTGCTTCTGGGGAGATGTGGCGTGAAGCAGGTTGGTGGGGGGCAAGACACCACCCCCCCAGAAGGGCGTTGCCCACAGACCCAAAGAGGGAGGGAGCAGTGCTTAGCCCCAGGTCTGCTCAGCAGGGACCCGGCCACCCCTGGGAGGGGGGGGACACAGTTGATTTAGGACTGGCTTGAACAAGCTGTGTTTATCACAGAGACCTGTGCATCTGCTTTGGAGTCCTGCCCAAGCTGAGGGCCGATATTTACAAGAGGTTAAAGTTCCCTTCCCTGGTGACCCCAGGGTCTGTCTCTTTATGTTTGCATCTGGTATGTTTGCAACTGGCCGAACCGGTTAGACAGGCTGGCGTAGCTAAGTGACCACAGTGGCAAGACAAGCCCTCTCCTGCAGGTCCCCCTGTAACAAGATGCATTTAGCCCCTTACCTCACACCAGGCACAAAAGCGAACCCAAAATTCACCAGAGAGCTAAGCAAGATGCATTTAGCCCCTTACCTCACACCAGGCACAAAAGCGAACCCAAAATTCACCAGAGAGCTAAGCAAGATGGATTTAGCCCCTTACCTCACGCCAGGCACAAAAGTAAACCCAAACTTCCCAGACACCTAACCATAAGCAATAAATCTACAAAACGTCCCGAAGAAAACTTGGGAGAAAAATGTTTGTCATCTTGGGTTAGGAAGGGGTTTTTATATTTTTTTTAGATAAGTCACCAAAAGCCTGATCTATTACCAAAAAAAAAAAAATTTGATAAATGAGAGGTCATTAGCTATCCAAGCATTTAACACCATTAAGAAAATGAAAACATAGCGGCAGACTTATATTTTTACTTTACTTTTAAAATAGGTTTCATTTTATACTTGTGCATTTTTTTATATCTGCAAACGAATACGACCGTATAATAAGACAAATGATCTACTAAATAGGCAAGAGACGTGAATACGCATTTTCCTGAAGATACGAATGGCCAGCGGGCACCGTGCCAGGCTGCTCAGGACCCTTCTCAA